GCTTTGTGAACAAGCGGTGGAGCAGTGGGGGCCACAGCACTGGGCGCGTGCTTTTCAGCACAGCAAGGGGGACACTCCAAGGAATGCTGCTGTCTTGTGCAGGGTTTGTCTTTTTGAGACAGGGTCTTGCCAGGAAGCTCAGGCTGTCCTTCAGCTCACAAGGACCCTCTTGCCTCAGCCTCAGGAGTGCGAGTGCAGGGATGACAGGTGTGTGCCACCACTCCAGCAAGCCTGGCAAGTTCTACATTTTTAAAGGAACTCCAAATGCAAATTATCACGCCAAGCCTTCCAATTCTTAAAGATAGAAACCAGCTGGAGGTTGGAGCTTAGCATTCCTGAGACCCCTCCCCCCAACCTAATCAAAATTTTAAAAATACTGATTTGGGGCACAAGACTAATGTATGTGAAGGCAAGATGCTGGCTTGAGGGCTCTTGCTTTAATTATCTGGACTTCAGAGCCATCTAAAAACAAACATTCTCGACTGCCCCAGCCACCCCCTTCTGGGTCCCTTCCTGAGTCTCCCCGGCATGCCCAGCTCTTGAACCCTGATGTCAGCACCGCTGCATCTCACCTATTTTCACCTCCAGATCCTCGTTCAGAAAGAGGTTGCCCAGCTTGAGGTCCCTGTGGATAACCCGGTTTCGGTGTAGGTACTGACAGCCCAGGACTATCTGCCGCAGGTAGTATCGGGCCTCAGGCTCCGTCAGGGCCTTCCTCCTCTTGTGGAGCTCCAGGAGGGACTGGGGAGGGAAGCGGAAGGTGGAGACAGCGTGAGCCCACGGAAGACTGGTCTCTGGGGAAAGGCAATCCAGAGCACAAACGGGACCCTCAGGGGATGATGAAGGAGTCTTGACAGGCCCTCCTCTCGGCTCCCCAGTCCCTTCTTCAAGGCTACTTGAACAGCGGGCAGAACCACTCACAGCAGCTTCTATCAGGCCCCTCTCTCGGCGCTCCAACGCCCAGGATCCGCTTCCCGAGCTTCCGCCCGGCAGATCCATGTCCAGGTCCCTCTCCTCCCTGGAGGCCCCCAAGTCGGGTCTAACTACCCAGCCACCCCCCGACCCAGCTCTACCCGGAAAATCGCACCCCACCCTTCCAGGGACGCCTCCTTTAGCAGCAGCTCCTGGGCTCTGGCACCCACTGCCGGCACCTCCCGCCCCCACGTCCCGGAGCCGCCCTCCCTAGCTGCACCGCGACTGACTTCGGCGCTACCGGAACCACCTGCCCAGCAGCTCTGCGGGCCAAGCACTGCTTGCGGAGGCCTCTCTCAGCCCCAGCTCGCGCTCCCAGCGCGTCTCCAGATCTCCAAGTCCCAGGCGCCCCTTCCCGGGGGTTCCCTCCCTCCAGCTCCAGGTCCCAGCGCTCCCAGCCGGGCTCCCTGGCATCTCCAGCCCCTCCAGGGCGACACTCACCCGCCGGCGGCAAAGCTCTAACACCACGAACACGAAGTCGTTGTCTTCAAAAAAGCCGTGGAAGCCCACGATGTGTTGGTGGGCGAGGCTGCGGTGGATAGAGATCTCCATGGACATCTTCTCCTTCTGGTGCGGCTTGAGCAGCAGGGACTTCGGCACGATCTTGCCGGCGAAGACTTCCTTAGTGTCTGCATCCGAGATCTCGAAGCACTTGGCGAAGCCGCCTTTGCCCAAAAAGCGGCCCCGCACGTAGTGCCGCCGGCTGCGGGGGTCCACCAGGACCTCGGGGATCTCTTTTGCCGGCGGGGCAGCAGCGGGGGCTCCGGAAGCTGCAACCCCGGGGACCCCGGCTTTAGCCGGGTCAGCGGGTGCCCGCGCCAGCTTCCCTGCCGTTGCAGCCGCATTCATGATCCCAGCCTTGCTCCAAGGGACACGCAGGGTCGGTGCAGAGGGTTTGCACTGCTCCGCTCCGCCCCGAATTCAAACGCGGCGCTGGGAACGTTACAGAGGCCTGCGCGCCGCTGATTGGCCGTGGGGATTTAAAATCCAAACCCGCCCGCCGCGCGGCACCATGGGAGCGAGCGCCCCGCCGCGCCGCAGCCTTTAAACTCTCACGCTGCTCGGCGGAAAACGCGGCCGACAGGGCCGCACAGACCGCGGGCTCGCGGAAGGCCCCGGGAGACCCTTCTCGGCGTGAGAATGCCTCGACCCAGCCCCAGGACGGGGTAACTCGTTCGGGGTTCGCCCTCGGCAGCGGCAGGGAACGCGCCCGCACGCAGCTCCTGGGCGCCTCCTTTTGGAAGCTTTTCCTAACCTGTCGTCCACCCGCCGCCTTCCAGAATATAAACTAAGCCTGGAGATCGGGCAGCGACAGGAGGAAGTTCAGGACAGCACCTGCCTCAGCCGTCTGCCAAACCGGCCAAGAAACCCAGAATCTAAGCAAACACAGGGCTGCTTGTCGGGCCAACGCGGCCGCACGCACCGCAGGCCCTCCGGCCCCTCACTCTGAAATCACGCGGCTTGGCTCCGATCCGGAGAGCAGCGGCGTCACCAGCACCTGGAGCTCGTTAGGAGGCGAAGGCCGGGCCGGTCGCAACTCGCCTTTAAGCACCACTGCCCAGGTGATTCCTAGGTGCAGTTGCGGGCCCCAGCCCACCGCACCCGCCGGCGCCTCGCCGGGCTTGCTCCGGGCTCTGTCCCCAGGACCTCCAGTAGCGAGGAGGCCTGCCAGCAGGTTGCTAGGCCACGGCCAGATTGGTCCTGCAGGCGTTTTGACTTTTTAAAGAAACTGGCGCGGGCACCTGCTGACCGGGTAAGGGTAAAGTCAAGTTGCCATGACTGTATGTACAGCATTTAAAAAGTAAACACTAGGCCCGGGAGATGGCTCAGTGGAATAAGTGCTTCCCTGATAAGCGCAAGGGCCTGAGTTCAACCCCTGGTTCCACCAAAAAAAAAAAAAAAAAAAAAAGTAAACACTCATAGAAATTAAAAAAAAATTTTTTTCGGGGGGTGGAAATCAGAAGGACCAGCGGCCTTTGGCCCACACACGCCGGCTGGCCACCTCTGCAGCCCACGTGCCTGTCTGGCTTCTGCGGACACTACCGCAACAACCCTGGGCTGCTAAAGCACCCGGACTGGCAGCTCTTCCTCTGCCTTCCGTCTGCCCCATGGGGTCCCCAACTGCGCACAGCTCAATCCTACTGTAAACCCCCCCCCCCAGAACCGGGGGTTGAACTCCGGCCCTTGTGCTTGCCAGGCAAGCACTTATTCTACTGAGCCAGATCCCTGGCCCCTGTAAACATCTCTTTACCAGCTTCCCAAGGAAGAGGTAAGACAATGATACGATCTTTTCCACCCATGTCCCAAGCTCAAGGCAAAATGCCTGGTAAAAGGGGACATTACTAAGCAGTGAATTTAAAGGTTTGGCTTTTCTTTTTTAATTAAGGTTTTTTTTTTTTTTTTATAAATCCCCATAGTGTGTGATCCTTTACTTGAGCTTCTTATTGAAATTTAGTATAGCTATGGAGAAAATGTTCCTAATTATACAGTGCACTAAATGTTGACGAACTGAACACAACCTGTGTTCTGCCTTAGCATCTACACTAAAAAGACACTCCCAGGACCCCAGAGATGCCCCCAGTGCCCACTGGGTCCCAAGTACTGTCTCCCAGTCAGATGACTCACTGGCAGTCACAGGCCCTGCCTGTGATTACATCATAGCTAGATGACAGCAAAAGGATGAAGCAAAGTCAGCACGTGAACAAGGTGTGTGGGCCCAGTCCCGAAGAAAACGGACGCAAACTTTCTGGAGTGCCCTCACAGACCCGCACAATTCCTCAGAAACCAGCTGTGGCAACCACTGCAAAATACATGTGCCAGGGAAGTTCATTAGAGGGAGACCAAAACAGTTAATAAATGGAGACTTGGGGCCGGGCATGGTGGTGCACAACTGTAATCCCAGCACTCAGGAGGCCCAGGCAAGAGTCACCATGAGCTCAAGGCCAGCCTACACGAGAAAGTGAGTTCAAAGCCCAGTGGGTTTATGGACACTGGTCACCCCTCATGCTCTGCATAACACACACAACTCCAGACTCTCAACACAGGTGGTTCAGTGTGAACCATGGTGTTTGCACGAACAGTAGCCGGGGCACTGTGTCGCTCTTAGGACTTGGGATAGTAAGAAGCTTCCTGAACTCCAAGCTCCCAAATCTAGCCAGGCACTGACCCTGCAGACAGGTCTTTCTAAGGAGAACAGACTCAGGCCTGCTTTATTACTTTTTAAAACAACCTGCCTCTTGGCCAAGGCTCTTCCAGCAAAATTACTATCAAGGGCTGGGGAGATAGCTCAGCAGAATAAGCGTCTGCCTGGCAAGTGCAGGGTCCTGAGTTTAATCCCCAGTACTGCAAAAAAATAAAAATAAAAAAATTACTATCAAAAGGATCCTTGCAAAAGTGGTACCTTTAATGAAGAGAAGGCTAGCCTTACGTATGAACCTCCATTATACTTGTTAGAAGTCTTGATTTATAACCAGTTAAAATCAGTCCCACAAATCACAAAATCTATCTCAGCCAGGTTCCTTAAGATTCTGTTTGAACCATTTAGCTGCCCTCAGGCCCCAATTCAGGCACAGCACAGCAAAGTGGAAGCTGACCTTAAAGCCTTCCAGGGCTGAGACAATGTTATGTGATCAGGGCCAAGTACAGAAACACTCCCAGAGGGTGCAGGCAGTGCTCCTGGAGTCGAGGTGCAGTGTTGGGGAGCTCCAAGCAGGATGGTATTAGGCAGTGTAAGTTAAGGACCCCCAGTGGGGCTGCCCCAGTGTTAGTCTGAAAACTTTCTAGAGTCCTTTTCTGAAGGACACCAGAAGACAGTGAATTTCACAGATTCACCTGCTCACGACTGAAACTGACCCAGCTCACAAGTATGAACGAGATTTAAAGGCATTCTGTATGGAAAGTGCTATTCTGGTGTCAGCACTCACAGCATGTGGGAAGGCAGCATCTGAGGTTTCTCTCAAGAAAAGGGCAACACTTCCTTCAGAGTTCCTAAGAGCAAGCTCAGGGTCCAGGGAGGCCAGCATGGGCTACATAGTGAGGCCAGGGCCAATCTACGCAGCAAGACTCGGGCAAGTCGTCTGAGCTTCCCTAATACCAGGCTTTACTTTAATGTCCCTGCAGCGTTACAGAATCTGTGCGCCCACTCAGCAATCCTAGCTGTACGTTTCTCGGTGCCCTCTTAAGCCTTTCATCTGGGTATGTGCAAGAGGTACAAACACACTTTTTGCAGGCAAACATCGTATACAACTCAACAGAAAGGCACGGGGGCCTGGCCCTAGCTCAGTCCTTTAAGTGGCTGCTTCCACAAAGCTGTCAGCCTCAGGTGGCTGGAGTTCCAACCTCACAACTCTCCCGCTGGCCAAAAGTGCCCTGAAGGCATTCGAGGAACAAAAAAACCCCAAAAAAACCCTTATTCCATGGGGGCCTGGCCTTAGCTCAGTTGTTTAAGTGGCTGCTTCCACAAAGCTGTCAGCCTCAGGTTGCTGGAGTTCGATCCCCACAACACTCCAGCCAGCCAAACCACCCCTGAGGGCATTCTGAGCCAAAAAAAAAAAACAAAAAACAAACAAACAAACAAAAAAAAACCAGAAAGGCACATTCAGGAATCAGTAAACTAACAGGCTGAACTCTCAAATGTGTAGCTGAAGCATTAAGCACTAGTGCTATTTGGAGATGGGCTTTATTTATTGGAGACAGGTTCAAGAGGTAACTAAGATAAATGGGGCGGCTGGCAGGGGCCCTGCTACAATGTGACTGGTCCTTATAAAGGAAAGAGATCAGGACAGACACCCAGAGGGCCCCGTGAGCACACGGCAGGAAGGCCACGGTCTGCAAGTCAGGGAGGGCAGGCTCAGGAGAAGCACGCTGGTCAGCACCTTGCTCTTGAGCCTCTAACCTCCAGAAGGGCTAGGAAAAAACTAATTCCTGTTGTTCAAGCAATGCAATTTATAGTAATGAGTTACGGCAACCCTACCCAACTAATAAAGGATAAAACCCTGAATTTTCATAAATTTCAAAATAGGCTTCCATACCCTGCCACTCCTTGGACCTGATGATTTGGCCACTGGGCAGGAGACCAGTCCCTTTCCTGGACAGCTATGCTCTGATTAATTAGCATATCTCACAAGGCTGTGTGTATTAGAGAAAACTGAGCTAGGTGGAGTCACTTAGTCCATCGCTGCAAACTGCAACCAAACCAGAACACAGGCACAACAGCAGGGGACAGCTTCCAGAGGGCCCAGATGCTCATCTGGCAAAAGCAGGCCTGGAGGTGGGCAGAGATGGGCGGGGGGCACAGTTCAGGGGATGTACGCTCCCTCAACTCACAGCTCTCGGCAAGAAACACAGGGACACGGGAATGCAGTCAGCCTGAGGAGCTGACTGGCAGCCTCACTTCAGATGGCTCCATCAAAGAGCAAAACCTCTCCTGGGAGCATCTATGAGCGCCAGCCGGTCCAGCCAGCTCCCAGGATGTTCTTATGGATGAGAGCTGCAGGCATCCTGCCCTCCACGCCCCCCAGGGTCCTGCTCTTTAGGCCAGGGTCTGATCTGGCCCAGCCTTGCTAACTGGAAGCAGCTGAACTCTTGGTCAGACCTGCTCACGGCGCACAGTAATGGACTTCAGCCTGGGGGCAGGTCCAGCCAATTAGGATATGTGACTATGGGACTCCAGACAACCAGTGCTTTGCTTGGGCTGCGGCAACAGCACGCTGCTGTACACCAGACAGCGCGCTCCAAGCCCAAGTGACAAGCAAGGCTCTACATCCTGTCAGTCTCAAAAACAGTTCCACATTGGCCCACTCAAAATATCAGATTAGAAAATTTTCAACAACGGAGGCTGGCCAAAGAGCTCAGTGGACTAAAGTGGCTGCAAGCAGGCGCAGGGGCCAGAGGTTCGATTCCCAGGCCTGCTGTGCGGGCCCCACCGCCAGGGCGCATCAAGAGGGCAACTGAGACTGGGCTTGGCACGGGCCTATAATCCCAGTTTTTGGGAAGCTGTAAACAGGCAGATCACTATGAGTCCAATCTAGGAGAAAGACCCTGAACACCCTGTAGACTCTTCCCTAAAACACACACACACACACACACAAAGAAAATTTTCAACATCAAAGGGTCAGATGTTTGATTTCTTTCTTTTCTTTTTGGTGGAACCAGGGATTGAACTCAGGCCCTTGAGCTTACCAGGAAAGCACTTATTCTACTGAGCCATCTCTCCAGCCCCCCAGATGTTTGATTTGAATCAGGACTCATTGGGTTGGGGATGGAACTCAGCAGCTTATGTGCCTGCCTGGCAAGTTCCATCACTAGTATGGCAAAAAAAAAAAAAA